CTGGTCTGTTGAGGTTTCGGACAAATTTTTAAAATATAATCGAATTTTAAATTAGTTTGAATTCGTCTGTAATACGCAAGCAAGGTGGTTGGTTGATTGATTGTTATTTTCGTAAGCAATTTGTTCAAGGTGAACTAGAAAATATGCAAATCTATCGGCAACTCAGGTTTATTTACCCTATCTCGGTGACATTTCGAATGGTTTCGCTTGCAAACCGTATTATGTGTTTATTATATCTTGTCAACTGATGTATGTAGTCATTAATTAAAAATTGTTATTTGTATCATTAACGTCATACAAATATTTTTAAATGTGTTTTCTTTTTAAATTCTGTGAATTTTGATGTTGTTGATTGATTAGCAAATGTAAGAGTAAACCACTCTATACATTTTTTTATCTGCATCAATCAATTATCATAATATTTATTTTATTTCCAAGATGGTACACTCAAAAGATTTATTTTAAACGGGCCTACTTCGATCCTATTTGGCCAGGCTCGTTAGGCCCGTTTTCTTTCCATCACGCGGTACAAAACTGAAGAATTTGGGTCCTTTGTTTACCACGATACAGCTGAGGTAACCGCTGTACCGCGGCGGTAAACAATGTAGTAGTATTAAAGCTCATTTTGATATGTCATTCCTTACTGCGAAACAGTCGCACGTTGGGCTGTAACAAAGTAATTTTTGGGAGGTATATTAACCAAGCGGTTAATGAGCGATGAAAAAGTAAACTTTAGTGTATTTCAGTTGACACATGTAGCCGTTTTGCGCGTTAATATTTCTTTAACGTTAAGATATATCACTAAATTTCTTAGAATAATGTCGAAAAAAGCTGTTTAAAATCAAATGAAATCAATTTGTAACCAAGATATTCTTATTTTATTGATGTTTTCGTCTTCAACAACTTAGGCCATTAGCCTCGTGTTCTACGTATATTCTGGAGTGCTAGTACTATCTCCATAGTGTAGGAGTGCTGGTATTTTAATACTGCTACACACCTACAGACAGCCTTGTTACTTTTTTGCCAAGCCACCTTAAGAACGGCACTGTTAATTGGAGCCCTACAGTGAAAGATCAGAGTGAAGAATAAGACCATCTCGACCTTTACAGATTTATTTTGGATATCCTTCAATTGCTGTTTAAAGTACCTTGTCTAGTTGTCGACTTCATAGACTGGAACGTACTGCTTCGGCGTAGCCAGTTGTCTTTGATTGTTTTTCTCCAAGTATAAGGAATCTTAGTCTTGGTAGACCTTCGCAGTAGCACAATACGTGACAGAATCAGCACTAGGTCTCTTTTGCTAGGCCAATGTTATACATATGTTTGTTAAACCTACAATATCCTGTTTAATAGGTCTACTAGTACTCTAGTACTTTTCCTATAATGTCTTGTTTTATATCGTCAAAGAGGTTGCCAAAGTCTGCGAACTTAATCTGCCATACCAATATGGCGTTATTTAAGGTCCACCATACTTACCGAAACGTGTAATTTTTCCACTATGGACATCGATTATTGGCCTCACGCTGTTGTTTCGTGATCATTGTTAAACAATGAACTGTAGAACACAGATTTCAGAACGTCATACCTCTGGGGCGTCGCCAAATGGCCATTATATTGGGGCAAACATGTAATTTTTAGCAATGAACTTGAATAATAGGTACCGGTATGGCGTTTTAGTTTTAAGATGCTCTGTTGCATCACTTAAGCGGGGTTTACACTACCATACCGATAGCGTGTCGCTAAAGGGGTGCCATACCGAAAACAATTTTTTTTTGTTTTTAGCGACGCTCTGGAATGGCTAGACGAAATTGCTTCCAAACTTGTATTCATAGGTTTTTGAGGTCGCTGATTACGAATTTGATGCCAAATTTGTGAAAATCGAAATGGCGGACCCAATATGGCGGACAAAAATGCTCAAAATCGTAGATTGGACAAAATGGACAAAATGTTCTGAAAATGCGTACTTATAGGTTATCGAGGTCACTCATGATGAAATCATTAAAGTTTATCCTAAAACTACTGATCAACGGGAATTAATAATATTATACAAAAATTTTATACAAAATAAAATTAAAACGCGCATACAAGACTACGATACATAATCTGGTATATATAAAGAATTCAAACAAATATTAATTTCTGTACTAACTAAAAGTACCTACTCAAGTTTATTTGAAATTTATTTTTTAAAAATGAAACTTCATCTGATAGTTCTGCATTGTAGTCAAATGGATCCACATCTGTTTCTGCAATGCCACATCTAATGTCATACTTATCTTCATTTGTTTCTTCGTCAGAACTAGCTGTTTTTGTAAATGTATTGATCCATTAATTTTAGTTAAGTCATTATTGCATGATTGAATTATTATTATTATCTTTATTAAAA